ATCATCGTGTAGACCGAGAACGCAATGTGTGGACCTCCAGCTATGAGGTGGGGACTAGATGAGACCCACTCCAGTGGCAGCGGAACACCTTCAATTAAGGGGGCACTGCCGACTTTTGGTCCCATTCTTTCCATGCAACGCCCATAGGGCTAATATTAAAATGTCAAAATCAAAGGGGGGCACGGTGCCCCGGTGCCCTACCCGTTCCGCCGCCTATGAGTCACGCTCCCGACAGATCCGGGAGCCGCACCTCTTTCCTAGCTTTCAAAAGAGCGGCAAATAAGCGGTCAGCATTGCTCCCAGAGACGCCACCTGAAGCTGGACGGACGACGGACAGTTTCCGCTGCCGAGCGATTGAAGTTGAACTGCGGTGCTACGAGGCGGCTTCGCGTGCACTGCATTAGCACCTTCTAGCGGGAGTAAGAGGGCTAACGAACTCGCCAAGGCCTATATATGTAAAGCATTGTGCAAAGGCGAGTGTCTTACCTTAGGAAAATACCTACCCAGATTAACTGCTGCACCGCGGTCATTGCAGGGCTGAGGGTACGTCGTTCGCTCCGCTTCGGCGAGGTGGAGGTCAGACTGCCCGGCTAGGTGGTTTTAGCCGATATGCAGGCCCCGTTTGCCGGGCCCGGTCGAGAAGAAGGAACGCCACACAGCAAAGAATATTTGCTCCGGGCCCGCTACACTGGTCCGGCTCGTAAGTCGTAACAAATTAACAATACCTGCGCTAGCGTCGTCGATCGTCGTTCGACTGCGCCCAGTACCGCTCAGTGGAGAGTCCTGCCGAACTCCTCTGCGTGTGCCCAGATCATCCGTTGCGCGCGGACACAATCGTCCGACGGAGACCGCTCTGCATTATGATCGGGTGGTCACCACCTTGGTCGCCGGCTTTCACACCCAACCGAGCCGTCTGGCTACGCCCCAAATGATCGTCTAAGCCTTCCGATTGGTTTGTAACTCGGGTCTAATATCGAAATGTTTGGGAGTTAGAACATGTTAAATCCGTGTTCATGAACACACATACATTATGCAACTAAAACGCTTTACTTACTTTAACTTTTCTAGGCTGATGACAAGGCATACATCTATTTCATTGCAATATTTCTAAAATGTAAATAAATCATGAGCAATGAGCATAAAAACAACAGCGATCCACTAGAAGCTAGTGTGGATATCCACTGACGTAGGTGGCCTCGTACTGGCGCAGCTCGTAGCTCGTCCAGCCAGCAGCGCCAGCGTCTCCCGCACCCGGCCGCCCGCCTGCACCATCAGCCGCTGGAAATTGCTGCGCTGCCGCTCCAACATTAGCTTGACCGCCCGGCCGGCCCGGCTGACGCGCGCCGTCCGACGCACGCAGTGTGCCTTCAACAGCGCCGGGATGTCGTACGATACGACCGCGTCCACGGCGTCCACGTCAATACCGCGCGTTATAGCCTCGAGCACACCAGCGCGGCCATCTCAGCTAGCGCGCGCCGCCGCCGGCACGCCGGCACTACCCCACAGAACTCAGTCACGCGCGCGCCCAGCACAGACAGCGGTAGCTCCAGCTGGTGCGCCACCTCGTTCCAGTTGACCAACACGAGCGAGCATCGCCAGTCGGGCTGTCGGAGCAAATGGTGCATCAGCAGCGGCTTCAGCGGCTGCGGCGCCACCACGTTGAACGACTCGCTCAGCTCGGCCGGCGTGGTGAACCTGCCGACGAACTGACCGGGCAGTGCGACGGCGGCGGCCGCCGTGCCGACCACCAGCAGTCGCGGCTGGAACAGCGACATTCGCTCCAGCTTCTCCGGCCTCCGGGTTCTGTGACAGGGTGGCCAAGAATGGCAGCTTCTGAAGCGGCAGGTGAGGCGCGCAGACGGCGGCGGCCGTCAGCCGGCCGGCGATGCAGGGCGGCGGGCCGTGGCCGCCGCCACCCGCTCCACCGCTTTCAGCCAGCCCGTCTCGGCCATCTCGATCACCCGGTCGGCTTCGTCGATCACCAGGTAGCGCAGGTGCGGTAGCGAGAAGCCCTCGGCGCTGGTTATGTGATCCATCAGCCAGCCGGGAGTGCTCACCACGATCAGCCAGGGAGGCCGGGCCGTGCGGCCCCACCGCCACCAGTTGGCGCCCCCTCGTGCCACTGTGTCTCCACCCAGCAGCTGGACGCAGAGCGGCGTGTCGGCGTCGTACTGGCGGAACACGGCGGGCACCGAGCGGCCGGCCGGCGCCGAGACTCAGAGGTCGGCCGGTGGCAGTGGCGACTCTGCGGCCGCCAGCAGCTCGGGCAGCACGGTCACCTGCACCAGGAACACCTGTTCGATGCCCTCGGCGGCCAGCCGGGCGCGCAGCTCGGGGCAGAGCGCCGGCAGATTGGCCGGGCCCGGCGCCGGCCGCCGGTCGCCAATCGGCTGCAGGTGCGCCAGCCAGTCGGGCAGCGCACGCGGTGCACGGTCTGTCGGCTCGAGCGCTCCACCTCGTCCGGCACGGTGAAGTCGTCAGCGGCGGCGTCTCCGTCCGACTCGGAGGTGTCCTCACTGTCGTTATTGGCGACGGCGGCTGCCGCTGTGCGCTCAGTCAGGTCGGCCATCACAGCAACACTCGCCGATGATTGGCGTCATCGAAACCGTCGGACGATGGTGGATTCATCACCGTTTTTGCAGCAGAGACTGGAAAAACCTCAGCAATAAACAAGGAAAAACCTCACAACATGCCACAGCCTGCAATTGTGCATATTGTTATTATATTTCTCACATGACAGAAAATATTGGCTGCTTCATTCTAGGAACTGGCATGAAAAACATAAGCTAAAATCAAGCTAAGTGAATTATTATTGTATTTCAACATGAGACTGGGAAAAAATCCTTGTCACTGTCAACATGACCAGTGTAACGGATGGGCTGCATGAACATTTCGGCGCATGATCTGAAAACTCTGTGAGCAGAAATTTCAGCGCTGAGGTGAACAAATAACATTTCGGCCGCAATTTGCCTGGTGCCTCCACAATTTTGCAAAACTAACTCACAATACTTACAGCCAGTTTTAACATGATCCCTGCATGACTCATGCATGCAAGATACACATGCATTCAATATCAGCACAGTGCACACACAACAGTTATGGATTCATTTACATTTTACAACATTACTATTATCTTCTTTTCCTTCAATATTGGCAGCATGACTTGCTGAGCTCAGTGGCACAATCTTATGACAGCAAGTTTGTTCGGGTTCGCAACCATGCAAACTTTGCACGTTTGGCTTCAAAAACAAGCCTTTATACATTTCTTTCATGCTATTCAATTTCTTTTTTTAAATTTACTGTCATTGATCTGGAAAATCTTGCCATTTTGGTCTTAGCCATGTCAATTGCACCTTCCCTATTCCGCACAGCTCAAGTAAGTTCCACCCAAAAGTAGTAGTGGTATCAGTAGTTGGCGCCTTGCATTGTCAAATGTAGCTGAATATGTGAAAACAGTGACATATTTATTTAAAATCTTGAGTCCAATGACAATGAGCCTACCCTCTCTGCCTCTCCTTCCAGCATTTGTTCAAGCACCTTCAATTTTCGAAAATGATCTTCCATCATTATTTTCCACTTCCGTGCGACTCGCACGAGCAATGAACTTGTAAGCTGACCACTAGTTAATAATGTGCTATCATCTTGCTGTTGGGTGCTTGTAGCAAAAAGATAATATAAACGAAAAAACTAACACCACAACACCAAACACCAGTCTTGTTGGTTCCTTTTGGTCCTGCCTGGTGACAAAGGCTCTTTCTTTACGCAATATCATCAGTATTCCTCTTCTAATCTTGAAGCCCAGATGCTTTACAAATTGGCCATGAATGATACTAAATTATTATATCAACTGGGAAGCGCAAATCACGATAATTAGTAACAAATGATGCCAATTGTTCCAACACGACATCAAAAAAATAGACGGGGTCGCCCGTCTATTTTTTGGGCTGTTTTTCTACAAATAATGGCGCAAAATAACACTCCATTAATGCCGCATTTGCCGTTGGTGAAACTCATTGGCTATTTTTCTGCCTGATATTTTTTCACGCCGGCGGATATTTTTTCGCCTGGTTGGTGAAACTCGTCGGCTGGTTTTTGACAGAAAAATTGCGCCGGGCTGCTATTTTTCTGTTGGTAAAACTGGCCTCTGTTCAACTTTTTGGCGACCTCACCAACCAACCAACATGGGGAGCAAACCTTTAAAACCTTACAAATGCCTCCACCCGAAAACACGTGTCAAATACCCGGTTCCCACCACCACCGGCAGAGATCGTAAAAATGCATGCTGTGATTTTGCCGTTCTTGTCGATTTTCTCTCGTTATTTTACTTTACGATGTTGAACGGTCGTAGTGGGAACGCGGCTTAAGGAAAGACTCCGCTTCGCTCGCTCCGTAATTATTCAGAAAGCTGAATTGTTGGCACAGACATTGAGAGAAACACGTCGTTTGACCAGCCATAGACCTTTGTATGGTAGTATATACATTCATACATACCTACACCTCTGCCAGATCCTGCACATATTATATATGTAAATTCATACCCATTATCCATATGCTACTAAGCCAATTGACAACACGACTGGGAGTGTCACGCTGCATCCGCGGGAGGACCATGAAGCACTTAACAGTACATCAAACTGGTTAGTGGCTAAAATGTCGCAGGGCCGAACCAGTTTTCTCTCTAATTTTTGTACACACGTTATGAGCAAAGCGGCTTCACCCGTATATGGCCCAAACTTTGATGCTATTATGTAAAGCCGAGGGCAATAACAGGTCATATTTTGTGTGGGCATGTATTTTTTTTTTACCCTCAAGATGCAACGAGGCAGTAACTTAATGTTTTTATTTCTGCCACTAGCCACGGATGAAATGCGGCATTAAAGACACATTTCTATCGTATATCTGAATTATATTTTTTTCTTTGGCCTGTCTTTTACTGTAGTGACTGATACCCTGTACAGTGCACCCACCGCATTTGGTTTTCAAGTTCGAACAATCCTCACCTGGCCTCAGATTGATCCTCAATTCACGGCCCTGTGACTGCCTTCAGGAACACCAACTTCAGCCCGCCACTCGAATACAACAGCAACTGAAACGTCTTGTGCACAGCATGCTTTTATTAGCTCAAGTGATGGCCTGTGATAGGATATCTGTGTGAATGGTTACTTATCAACAGTCAACACCCAGCATAAGCGCTGAACGACTGACGAAAATACCCCGTCTGTGCTGCCATCTATGGGGGAGATTAACCCTCACCGGCACAGGGGGGATGATGCAACCCCCTAAGGTTTTTCACGAATAACTCGTGTAAAAAGCGGCTGATCGCGACGAAACTTTTAGTACACTCGCGTTAATTAATGTTACACCTACCCTGACAATTTCATGACCCTGACCCAAATGACATTTGACCTGTGACATACTTTTTGAGACCATGTTTGGCCGGAATCGCGATTCGGCGTATGTCGGCTCGCATTAGCCACGCGTTTACAGTCTTTTCGTGGTTTCAAACGTTCAGTCATGTGATTTGACGTTGATCCCTTGCATAAGAGTGGATGTCAAGGTCACCTGAATGTCAGGTCAGGTCACTGACCTTTGATGACCTCGGTTCACTTTTTTAGTTTTACATGTTTCTTGGCTAGTTTTTGGAGCTGAATTCGAATTTATTAACCATTGGAACAATTACGAAGTAGTTTTGGTGCCGTCGTAACATGTTACGAAGCTGTCAGAGGTGGTTGAAAGTTGACACGTACTACGAATACCCGGCGGAATACGAATTATTACGAATCAACGAATACCCCCACTGTTTGACCTGACCTGACCTGATCTGACCTGGCCTAAATGCATAAAGAGTTAAAGACATCATCTGTGATCAAAACTAACATGATATTCGTGATCAGCACCCCGAAAAAAAACTCATAGCAGCCACTTTTTACGACGTTGTAACAGGTCCCGATTTTCCCGACTTCTGGGTCATTGACCTGACCTCACCTGGAAGGTCAACCGATGACCTATACCTAGGACCTTAAAATTGGGTATCATCGGCTTCGTCTCGTCACAGGTAACACGCTCGTTGTTTTTCCGCGAAGCTCTACCTCGAGCAGGCGCCAGAAGCGAGGGGGTCGTACCCCCCCCCCACACACACACACACACACCCTTGTGCCTGAGGATGCAAAATGGCCTGTGTCGGCGAAGGTTAATACTCGCGGCATAGCTTCAATAATTGATATGGAGACTAAGTTTTGCGCTAAGCGACGGCCTCTACGAATATGCATATCCAAACTACCCTTCGCTTGTTCTGCATTCATTGTTCACCATCAGTGTTGATTATGTGAAGTTATGTTTTGAAAGGGCAGACTTTTTAGTTACAGTATCAATGCTCAAGTAAATCAAGTTTTGCAAAAAAAAAATCATGTCATTCTCTCAAAGGAATGTATAATATAAACAATGACCAATTGTTTAGGCACCAGGGCTGGAAAGGGTGCCCGGCAACTGGCATGCTTAATATTCGATGCGATCGTATCGCCACTTTGCAGTTTTTGTGACGACAGACGATCGGCGTATCTTTCCGGGGGCTGCATCACTCTTCCAATTCTCCAATTGTTTCTTCAAAACTTAACTCCCTCTCTCTTTCTTCAGACCTCGCAGCTCCACCTCCCTCTCTCTAACTATATCTATCCCACCCAACTCTCTCTCTCTCTCTCTCTCCTCTCTCTCTCTCTCTCTCTCTCTCTCTCTCTCTCTCTCTCTCTCTCTCTCTCTCTCTCTCTCTCTCCTCTCTCTCTCTCTCTCTCTCTCTCTCTCTCTCTCTCCCTCTCTCTCTCTCTATCTCTCTCTCTATCTCTCTCTCTCTCTCTCTCCCTTCTCCCTCTCCCCCCCTCTCTCTCTCTCTCTCCTAACTAATTAAAAAGTAGTCAAGGTTTTTGATCTTATATTCACTTTTGCTCAGTGCTCAGGTCATTCCTAACTTTGCACGAACAGTCAGCGTATTCCCTCGTCCCCACATTGCTATTTCTCGTGGGAAATCTGTGCGGAACGGTGCCAGACGGCGAGGTTAGAACGAAGGCGGCACGGTCGCCGTTGGCGCTCACCCCACCAACAAAGACTGCGCGGTGCCGTGCTCTATCGAGCTGGCTCTGGCGCGACCGTGCGTTATCCCTCCGGCCGCCGCCGCCGCCGCCGCCGCCGCTGCCGTCGTCGCCACCGCCGCTACCGCGCCGCCGCCGTCGCCGTCGTCGTCCGGCCTCCGTTCGATCGATACGGAGCCAGCGGCGGAGTCAAACACTGCGATCGACGACGCGGCGCGCCGAATTAAAAGCCTTGTGACAACCGCGTCGCTGATTACCCGAGAGTTATGAATAGATGGGGTGGCCGAGGCGCGGCGGACAGGGAGCCGCGGTAGGAGCCGTCGGGGTAGGGGATCGGGGAGAAGCGGAACAGGAGGGGCGAGATTGGACGAACGGAGAGGGAAGGTGGACTGGAGGGGAGAACTGAAGGGAAGAGAAGACGAACTGGAGGGATGAGGGCGGGCTTGGTCGGGGAAGGATGGCGGCTGAAAGGAAAATTGCAGACCAGAGGAGAGAAGGCGGACTGCCTGGACTGCGGAAGATGAAAACTCCCCTGTTATCCACTGAGCTCCCTTCTATCCCCTCTGCCATCCCTCCCTCTCCGGACAGTCCTCTGCAGCACGCGCCGGCCCCGCCCGCGCCGCGGCCCGACACGGCCCCGCACAGCGCACCGCCAATTCCGACTAACCAGCCTGATTGGGATGAATCGTGGCGATAATTCAATCACGGCGCACCCGGCGCACATGTCACAACCGCGGCGTGGGAGACGCTCTTGGCGCACATCTGCAGTGTGTGTGTGTGTGTGTGTGTGTGTGTGTGGGAGAGGGAGGGAAGAGGATGCATCGTGCGTAGGTAGGACTAGGAGCCTTGAAACAAGGAAGGTTAGGGCCTCTTCAACTAAGTATGATCTTCAAACCATAGATAAGGCAGCATTGAAGAAGCATAACAATCTGTTAAGATGTTACACTTTTTAGTTTTTTTTTTAGGTTATAGCCTAGGCATTTTGCTTTTCTCATTATTTTGGTTACTTCTTACTTGATTAGATATAACTTACTGTATCTATTATTAAATTGGTTGGATAAAAGGATGCAAACCAAAAGCATCGGGAAACTGTTCCAAGTAATCTAGTAACCACCGCTTATACAGGCTCTGTATATTGCAAGCAATTGATGGGGATATCTTTCACATAAAATGGTGTTGCAAATGCAGCGGAGCTTGAAAATGCACGTAGCTATGGAACCCGACCTTCAATGGCACTCCGCATATAAGGTTACGTGTGTTGGGATCTTCCGTGACGTGGTATCGTCACCTTCAGCGCCATATTTTGCCAACGACGGTCCCGGGGAGAGGTCAGGGACTGGGGCGTGTTTGTCCAGGTGTTAGGCACCACCGACTAGCCTGGGGATGGGAAGGCCCGAGGGAAATCAGACAGCGGCTCGGCCCGATCCAATCAGTCCGGTCCCCGCATCGCGCCGCGGACAAACACTGGATGGTAAAACATACTGTCACGGTGCAGGTACAGACTGGAAAACACCAAAGGGACTGGCAGGCCAATTACATATTAGCAGGTACGGTGCAACAACATGCAAACAAATGACAGTCCACGTAACAAACGCATAAGACTAGTTCAACAAGGTAAAAAAAAACTCATCGCCATGATTCCACAGGCTGAATAAGCGCCTCGGCTGGCGACAGCAGCTGCTCGGCGGCGTAAGATGGCCCTTAGCCCCCCCCCCCCTCTTCCCACGCTCCTTCCCCGACCTCGGCCAGATGGTCAGCCAACAACAGGCTGTGAACTGCGCAGGACGCGTGCCGCTTACCCCATGGCAATGCCTCTGAAAGCACGGACGGCCTCGGGATGAGCCAGAACAGGTGTAGGATGGGTCCGGTATAGGCCCGCCAGGGGCATTTTCCTTTCGGTTTCTTCACAGCAAGATTCTGTTTCACAATCGCCGTTTTCACGACGGGCTATCCGGCGAGTGCACCTTATTTGACCAAATCTGCACCTAATCTCTTTTACAGCAAATATCTTCATTTTATGAAATCATTTCAGTGTTTTAATCGATGATGCTCTCTGATAATATGACAAAGTAGGCATATACGCAATTGGTGCAACCCTACCTGATAGCTACTAAGAGACACACTGAACCTAATTTGACCAAATCTGCACCTAATCTGCACCAGATGTGCACCAAATGTGTACCAGATGGCCGTCGTGAAAACGGCTATTACCACTTACCCAGCGGCGCTAGCTCTGAGTTTGCTGGGTGTTGCCAAACCTCAGAAGAGATGGATTGATGTCATGTTTGAAGTCAGAGTGGCGTACAAGATGTAACTGACCAAGGCCAAGCGTAAGCTGCTAAGTCGGCCTAGGCAGCAGTCTGACGGAGCTACTGCAGATCGTGCCATCTACTCAGCACGGAGTGCATTCTGTCAACTGAGCCTGACGGAGCTGCAGCTGTCGGCACGGCACCCTATCTCCGGAGCGTGCGTCACAGCTCGTCTCGCAGTCCCCACGCCACTATTGCACGTGCGTCAGCCAAAGGGAATGCAATTACTCGAGCCGCGCCGTCGGGCAAGGGGAGGGTCCAACGGGATTCAGGGGAGACGAGAGCCCCCTCCTGTCCCGGCCCGGAGCGACCAGCGCACTTAATGAATATCAAACAGAGTTGACTTCATTGGCATCGCCGTGTGGTATTGAGCGACTGCGCATCTCCGGGGACAGTCGGCTGGTCCGATCCTATAGCCGGAAAGCCTAGTACTGCATAATGGCATGCCGGCATATTGTTACCCAGAAAAGCACTCCAGCACCTCAGCACTCCAGATGTCTGGTTAGACTGACCAAGGTGGCGGCTTTTAACATAAAGCATTGATGTGATTCTTCCGCATAAACGTGGTTTCTTAGCTCAATATTGTTGGCATATACCATCTACTCTATACGTTAGATAAAGCGCCTCTAAATTCTTTGAAGGTTGCGTTGCCTGCAATTCCGCGTGCGGGACAGATTCAAGTGCGCGCCACAAAGAGCACGCACCGCACGGTCGTCGCTCATCATTAGTTTCATCCTTTCAGTCGCCAGCTCGAGCCCGGCTACCCGGGCGGTATCGCCCATTCCAGCACGCCTTTGGCCTCAG